GCAGACCACGATACACTTCAGCGAGACCTGGACAGAGCTTATGAGTGATCACGCCACAATATGCTCTAGTTTGATTCGGGAGAGTGTAAGTTGATTATCATTCGCCACCAGCCGAACATCACATACAAGCTTGAAGATCATGTTCTTCAAGTAATTACACAGGAGCGCGAACTTTGGGTAATAGTCCAGACTGATCTGAGCTGCTCAGGACAATCTGAGAAGTGTCAAGGACTGGAAACCAACACGTTGGCATGCTGCGAATGGCATTTGGACGGTCTGATCTTTCTGTCTGTCCACGGTTGCTAAACACCTACGTGCGACCTCATGTGGAATACGCAATCCATGTCTGTCAGATCTGACAAAAGCAAGACCTTGCAGCGCTCGAGACTCCACAGCGACGAGCCACGAAGCACGTCAAATAGTTATGCAATCTTTATTATCAACTTAGACTGCAGACCCTACAATTATACAGTAGCCAGTACCAGCGCCTACGTGGAGAACTTATTATGGCCTAAATGGTCATAGGAAACTCCAACCACGTCAAACCGCTGCCTACTACAACGAAGCCACAACACGAATTCGAGAGGCCACCAGTTCAACTTAGCCAGGCAATATAGTCGGCTGGAGCGTCGACTGAACTTCTGCTCTCTTCGCGTGTGTCAGCCATGGAACCCCTTCCCAAATTACATAGTTTCCGCTACCACTTTACCTGTGTTTGAAAAATGCTTTGACGTTGCCTTAGCCCACCTATTCTACGAGATATAGCCTGTGTGTCTCGACAAACGATATAATACAATAAAAGCTGCACAATCAGAATTAACCTACACAACTGAGGTTGGCCCTTTCTGCGTGCCCCTAGGTTAAAAGTGCGGTGACTTCACAAAATCGATTTTCCTTGTATTGCTTTTTCCTTTCACTGTGTTACGGTACTCCTTTTTGCCGTCCTACGGGATTTGCTAAGCATCCGCTTTCTTGCCCGTAATAGACCAGTATTCCATTGTTCCAGTGAATGACGCTGACATTTCTTCTCAATTCGTGTGTCCCATTGGTGGAACGCTCTCCTGATTTCCGTCATCTCCTCTTTTACATTGACTGAATTCATAATGCTACTTGATGCAGCATAGTACCACATGCACCAAAAGACTTAAATAAAGTTACTGAGACACATCATGACAAAACAAAATTAGTTGCCTAAGTGAAACTTCGGTGGGTCCACCACTATGCGTTATTTTTGTTTTTGTTGATAAGTTCACATACTGTTTCCATTATTTACCTGCGGGTATTACAAGCTTTAGATTTTTACTCGTGATTAATCTATTGATCCATTGATCTCACGGTTGCGCAGATCGCTAACTTACAAATGATGTGACCATACAACTGTCAATAGAGATATTAGAGTGCTGGTATGCGGATCGCAGCACCGTAACTTCCTAGCTTCGGATCAAAGCAGCGTCCCCTAAGCAAACACACCAGAGCAGCAATTTAATCGAAACAGTTCCCATTAACAATGCGGATAATATTACTCAGCTGACAAAACTGACAGACACACCCCTTACGTTATATAGAAGGAGATGAGCAATGAGGAAAATTCGAAATACCTGGAGCTGACACAAATAATTTGTCACCGCCCAGGCGCAAAAAATGATTTGTGGCCGACCCTACAATGGTCCACATAGCACAACCAATACGATGACCCTCGAGTCACCACTGAGATCAGAAAATGTTTCCTGCATGTAAATCATTGCAAAATGCCTCGAGAATACGCTTGCTGAACTGCGGCTACTTCGAACTGCATACGCTAAATAGCCCATATTCGCAAAAGCGTTTTGCTTACACTCAGCAAATACCGCTGCTGAACTAGCGGAAAATGATACATCCTTTGTTTGAAACGATCGCCGCAGCTACGGTGTTATTTCTTAACTATCGCATTACCCTGCAGCACGAACCAGTAGACGATCGGTAAAACGCTGTGCATAGACTCACTGTTGTCGTCTGCAAATGTGATGCAACGTCACTTGCCCTGTGATAATTGTTAATCTTCCCCAAATACCCCATCCATTAATGGACCTTTTGAGATTAGTCCTAGCGAGGGTACAGCGACGACAATACAACTATGTTTCCATCTTAGTTGAGTTCAATGTTCACGGCCTGGAATTTCCGGCATCTCCCAGGCGAGCAATTTCAGCCCAACCTGCGAAAGCTTATTGCAAGCATTTCACCCATCAGCGTTACCAGTTCGCCCACCAGATACAGAGTGGGAAACAAACCTTTAGTGCTTGATTTGATGCCCACTAACCAAGAGCACTTGATCGCCTGCGGCCGAGTCTTCTGGGGCCCAGTGATCACGGCAACTTATACGTAATATCCACAGGAAAACAACGACTTGTTTCTTACAATCACTCATTATGACTTACTAAGTGAACTGCTTGGGAAATACACGTGGGACTTTTCGGATGTCTCCTATCAATACTGCCTGGATAGAGTTTGCTGGCAACTTCAGTGATCTGAGCAATCAGCTGGGAAGCCGTCAGAACTATTATTTTCTATATTTTAGCCGCAAAACGCTGTTTTGACTCTTGTCATTTCTGTACCCACGCTAATCACATATTAAAAACGACCCGACGATGTATAGCACAACCTACATTACCTGATTTGATTTCTGTATATGGAGTGACGACAAAATGCAAACATGATACTCATCAGCTCGCATGACCTCTTGTTAGATGGATGTGTGCGTTCAGAAGCATATTGTGATCTGTCCCCAAAAGCGTGATACGCTTGGCTTTTTTCTTTGAGCTTACGCAATACACCAAATCCATCCCATGATACCTGTCATATCTTGAGGTTTTAACCTGTAAAATACCAATGTTTCATCCTTCGAGTTAAGTTTTACCATGGAGTCGCCAAGTTCATGGCGCATGATCAAGACTGATGAAAACCGTGCTGCAGCGCCTCCGTGATACTGAAGCTTTTCAGCTAACCCATCAGTTTGTCAGCGAAGACCGCTTCTATGACCCTTATAAGCAAAGAGAGAAGTGTAACCGGGCTTATTCCGGCTTTCTCCTTCACGGATCAGATCGACTGACTTTAATCAGAACTCGCATAATGAACAGAACTGCTCTGTTAAGTTGCGACACATTTCTTTGACTACTCACCCTAAAGGAAACATAGTCTGTATCCCAAATTTTCTGAGAACTAATTTTAGTGCGTTTGAAAAACTATGTAATATACCAGAGCATATTTTCTCGTTGTTTTCGGTGAATGAAGTTGGTTCAGCAGTCTACTTACAATTTTATGATCGCACAAATGTGTAGAGGCTGTGTTTTGACGCAGAAAATTGAAATGAGGGTAGATAAAACACAAGACGGACAACAAACCATGCCACAGTGGTGCAAATTTTGCAACTAATGTGGTGGTCTGTAATGTCCAGTTAAGCGGTAGTTGTTCCCCCATCATGCCCGTCCATTAACAAGCACAAGTACCCACACATGTTATGTTGTGAACCATAATACATTTTCTTGTTTTGCAGCAATTCATGCAAGGTAGTCATCAATGCTTGATTTACAAGACGGTCTTGTACCTTTCAGTGAGGTTTTTTAAACTACTGGTGTATTTCTACACTGGTCTGTTCATCATCGTCTTTGTTTTGGCGGTGTGATCACTAATTATTTTCCGGCGTAAATTGATCTCTAAACCTGAATTTTCGTCCATTCCAAAATGTTAAACGATTTTCACCGCAATCAACTATTTGAGAATCGTAATTTTGCTGCTGCATCATGTCGGCTATTAAATGGATCTCTGAAAAGCATCAACTCTTCGACTGTATGGCGTTGAGTAAGCATCAAGATAAATATCAAAAATTATATTCACCTCAGAGTGGAAGTGCGAGTGTTGCATCCGCAGGCCTAAGTACAACCGGTGAACAAGCAGACAGGAATAATAAAGTCCCAAGTTTACACACACTGGCCAGGACTAATAGACCTGTTGAGTTGCCTCAAACAGAAAGTATTAATGCATTGCCGTTTTCTCCTGCAATTCTTCTTGCATACACGTATAAAAAAGGAACCAACTTTGCACTTTGTTAGCAATTTCAATGAAGATAAAGTGCAGCTTATAGCAAACAATTTAGTTATCATGTGCAGACGGTAAGAGAAACTATATCGTTGTCGAGTTACCGTATATGCACAATCTCCTGAAGAGAGTGAATTCGCTGTTTCCCCCTTGTACATGGTAACCTGTCCCATTTCTGCCATAAGGTTTGCGAAGTTTCAGAGTACAGTTTTCTCGATATTGTGCTAACTGAGTATTTATTTGCTCACCGACTGCTTTTTATGCATAGCACTGCGAGATTTTTAGATTACCTTCAATTAAACGAGTGAATTCCTACTCCAACGGGTAAAGCAATCATGTATCTTCTGACTTCCTACAGACATTTCCAAAAGGTTGATTCTAATTTGGAATGGTTTCAAACTAAATGCACATGTTCTAACAGTTTGTAACCGGGGATAATAACTCCCGGATTACAGTAGAATACAGTCAGCAGCGTAGCTCACCCTCCTAGGAAGTGAGGGTGACTAATCCGATTATAATAACAAAACTACGAAACATACGGTGCTGTAGATATTTGACTAACCAAACAGCGTCTTGTATCCAAAGGAGCTGAAAGCTGTGTTAGAAACTATTATGTAGATTTTTAAAAAAACAACTGATGGATATGTTTGATAACATGATACTCTAATAACATTCTCATTGAAGTAAAAGCAATATTTGGTCCACTAAGACTACAAGTGCTATAACTAGGTTGCAAGTTGCGTGTTTTCTGGAATCTGGTTGACCTTTCTTGCCGGTACTTTTCATTCTGTAGACACTGGTTATCTCGAACTACTATTGGTAAATATTTGGAATACTGCAGTCCCACAAATGTTTATGCGACTTATTATGCAATAGCTCTGACCATTTACTATAGTAACCCGCTTCTACATTTATTTCCCCCAAATCAGGCGATTTCCACGTCCTGTCAGGCAAACGATTCAAAGGCAGCTATAAAGTGACAGTAACGAAAACTGGGCTTCCACGTGTCTCGAGCTGCTGCCAAACTAGCAAATGTTGACCAGTGCCATCAACTTTCTATCCGATAAGAGGAAGCGATTTCAAAGGTCAGACACCGTGCCAGTTTTTGAAACAGATAGGGCGTTTGGGAAAAGCAAGCAATTTGTCAGTTTGTTCCGTGAAGTACATAGCAAATGCGACAACAGTGCATTGGAAAAAACAGGGATGCCCTGCCCATCAGCTAAAATGTCACTTGTATCTGGGTCATTAGAAAACCTGGCGACGTCGACTACTACAGATTGTGTATCCGTGAAACAGCATGTAGCATTCATAGATGATATGGACGAAGATGGACACAGTGGATCCTATTTGGGTGGATTGCCGATGAACCGGTTTGTGCATTTTCCTGAACACTTATCTTCACCGGAGCAGATGAAAATGGAACCGGTAAATGAGACCGAAATATTTAGGATGCCTAACACAATCACTTATAGAGTCAAATCAGGGGAGAACGATAGTGCATTATTTCATCCAAGTTTGGAAAACTGTTTTCGTCCACTCGAAGAACAGAAGTCTAACAATTTTTGTTTGACTCCACTATCGATGGTCCCTAACTCCACCAGCAGTGTAAAACTTCAAAACAATATGCTTGTGCCACAACATCGGGATAAAACTTACCGAAGTGCAAAATTACAACGGTCCAAGAGTAGTGCACAAATTCCAATTACTGAACAGTCAATGCAATCCCAGTCAGAAAGGCCGCATCGTGTCCGATCCATCAGCAATCAAAGAGAACGATGCACTGCTGACAGCTTTGATATGAATCGGGAGCGATTCACTGATCAGAGAAGGAGACGTAGAAAAGGTGGCAAATATTGGGCTAACAGAACTCGTCGTTCGCGTTCTGTTAACACTATTCGGCAGCATAAGGTCTCAAATTGCCCAGATGAATCAGAACAAACTGCCTCCTCATTCCAGCTGACCATGAAAGGCACCTGGGATAACTACTATAAAATTCGGACTAATGAATGCTCAAACATTTTACAAAGTGGAACCGAATCGTTACCGGGGTTCAATGGCCACTTTAAAGACGACTACTCTAACCAGCCGCTGGATTCACATTGCCATAAATCAAATAAGCTACCGAAGAAAGTACTGCATACTGCGGACTCACATTCACATTCTAACAGTGACAAGTATGCACCTGTTCGGAGGCTGCGTCGTAACAACTCCACTTTAAACTGGTACAATAGGCCAACACATCATGCACTGGATGCATCTCAATACGTGCCAACCAGCCAGACGGCCGGTGACCTCTTCTTACCTTCAACAACTGTAAATAAAAACCGGCCAAATAGTAGAGAGTTGCCGGCAAACTTTTCAACCGCGTTACTCCAACTCTTCTCACATATCGAAAATAATGATCTCAACCAGATCATGGCCAACTTTGAACAGTACAAGCAATTGAGTGCTGAGCTTGAAGCTAATAACTACAACAGCTGTAATTCAATGGGCCTGCACCCCCTTGACGTTGCGTTATTGACAAGTTCGCCGCAGATAATCCTATGCTTAATGGCTCTGGGTTTTCAACCGGGACCAGTGTTTACTATCGCATGGCTTCATAGTCCTGAAAGTCCTAGCCCAAAGGATCCTCTGAAACTCTATCTAACTCGTCAGATTCGCGAAGCAGAGTTTGACATAATCACCAAGCGAGCAGAGTTAGAGGTTCTTGTAATGAAGGCAAATGAATTGTCCCAAGAAGAAGTGGAAGGTAACCAGGAGAGTAACTTGGTGAAATCAGTCTATGATATAGGTGTCAAACGCTCATTTGACGAGGTTACAGATAAGGAAGGTGATATCAAGCAATCCATAGCCAGTCATGATAGACTGATTGCATGGCAGAAAGGCATATACAGATTTCCCCGAAAACCAATACCCCCTGGTAAAGTAAAAGTTATAGTCGTTGGTCCTTCCTCCATAGTCGTCCGTATTTCCTCTGTTGGTACAGCAACCAAGCAAATGCAACCTTACTGCGATCCAAATAACATTAAACAGATGCAAGAAGATATTGATGCTAGCACCTCTGGCGAATCTGAATCCGAAGAAGATGCCATCAGTTTAAGGGAGGGACGTAGAGCACCAACATTCACCAAAGCAGACTGTAGTAAGATTTTGCTTGCTTACAGAATCGAATGGTCAACTTCGCCCGTATTTACTGAAAATGAATCACATAGTCAAAACGTGCAACTACCAGTGCGATTATCTCCCTTACAACATTTGCACTCATCCATTACCGCTCCACATGACAAAATCATTCCCTCTTATCGCACTGCATTCTATGAGTTAGCTGGACTTGAGCCAGAACGAACAGTATTCGTAAGGGTGTATTCCGTTGCTGCTAGAGGATGGTCCAAGCCAACCTACGCTGAGCCGTTTGGGATAGCTCCCTCATCCTGGTACGCTGCAACAAAGACGGAGGTAGCAAAGGTCACTGAATCCCAGAGCAGTCAGACTCACTCCATTGCTTTTGTTCATCCGGTACGTTACGCTGGAAAACTTCTAGATAGGGAACTGTACTCTGTAAAGCAGCTACTAGATCATCAACTCCTTCAATGGATATGCGAACAGTCCACAAGCGCAACAGATGCATCTAACCCTAATCACGGCGCGACTGACGAGGGTGGAAAACGTACCAAATCTCCTATGCTCCAAAGAAAGCGTTCATTTCGCTTTCCTTTTGCGTCCAAAGGTATCAAATTTGTGCGACAAACAAAATCTGGTCTGTATCTTGCACTTCTTTGTCATACTGTAAAAAGTTTCACAGACGACAACGAAGAGCAAATCAAATCACGCCAAATTGTGACAGTGGACGACAGTCTACCAATGTTATGCATTACTCGGGAAGAATATGGTTCCATATCTGCGCTAAGCGGCGACTTTCACTGGTTTGCAAGGTTAGTAGCGGATCCATCAGTGGGTCCCGACTTACAGATTATTAGCGAAAATCTTTTGCGAAACCCAGCCCCAACGAATTTGCAACTCCGATTTAAACTTCTAAGCACATTGCAACAACTCCAACTCGCTCTTGGAAGCAGCGATGTTGGCTCACTTTATCCTGAGTTGTTTCAGGCCAAGCGTGTGTTGCCAGAAGTTGAATCATTGTCAGTTACTCCGGAATACCAAAGTGTGCTGATGAAATTAGAGGAATGTGCAACTCCAGAATCTTGTACCGCATTAGCATCTGTGGAGTCAGGAAATCACTCATCATCCTCTGCTATATTAGTTCTGGTTAAGCGAGTTAATGTAGCAGTCGAAAGCTCCTTTACGAGTGGTTTACGGTGGAGTTCGGTGCAAAAATTTCTTCGTCAAAACAAGGTCAATCCGGAAATGCTCTCACAGCTTATTTCCAACGCAGACACCAGATTAACACCGATGGCAACTGACGCCGAACGAGAAGCTAGGGTATCCGTTGTGAATGCGTCTAAAATCGAAGCAAGCACAGCTAGTCCCGAAATAAATTTGGTTGCACATCTTAGCAATCTTTTAGCTTCATCTGATAAGGAATTCAATACACTGGTCCCTGGACTTTACATTGTATTTATACAAATGAAGGCGCATATGGATCAACAAGCCAAAATTCTCGTGTCGAAATCTCTCAACCATCCTTACATGCCTCCGACAGAACGTGTGCGACGTAGAACCCATGTCACTCGTAAAGAGTGGGAAGCGATCTGGCTCGCCGTATCACCTCCAGTAAAAATAGCATCAGTGGAAAAGAGCAGCCTGAAGTTTTGCGCTAAGCTTTATCGGGCCATGCACAAACTGGCAACCAGGTTAGGTTATTCGGAGGAAGATCATGAACAACTAAGGTTGTATTTAACGGAAGTTGTGCAAATCTCTCCGCATCATTCCTTAATTTTGATTTTTCCATCAATTGATCGAGTGTGCCTCCCCCCTACTGCTAATGATCCTACTCCTCCTGGATGCGCGTGGTGTTCTATGGCGTTTTTCGAGCGTCATCTTGGAATTACCTATGATCCCAAATTCCATAGACGAGCCTACACTCTGTTAGCAATGTTAGAACTGCTGGTGCCGATCTCCAACTTCATGCAAAGGCAGTGTATCAGTGATAGCGAATGGACAAAGTGCTCAGAAAGAACCAATGCATTGCAATCGTTGTTACAAACTGTCGACGCGTTACTCTCCGAGAAACGTTGGTTAAGTGATGCCATTGGGACAGCTAGAGATCGAAAACGGATTTATCCCGCAACCCTAAATATGGGTGAAATGAAACGATATCTGGAACTCAGTGTAGCTTCAAAATTGAAGGAAGAAAGTTCCGTAGAATTAACAAACATTGTTAGCGAAAAATTAGTGGAAGAAACTAAAAAATATAGTACTATGTCATCGGTTGACAGTTTGGTAAACTCACTGAGCGCAAAAATACGACGACACACGGATGAGACCTTTTCTAACGGGACAGAAAATGTGAGGTTGAAAGGAATAGATATTGTAACGAGGAGTGCCCCTATCTCTCGTGGTGACGAGAAACCGGCAAATGTTCTCCGAATTTACGTAGAGTATCCGACTGGTCTACCTCATGGCATATGTGTCAGAGTTTCCGCAAAATTAACCACTACATCCAGAGACATTGTTGAAATGACTGTACATCGCGTGGCACAAACCGTGAAGCAAAAGAGTTTGCTACAGAACCCCAGATGGTTAAATGAACATGAGTGTGGCTCTTTTGTGACCCCTGATTTGTGTTGTCTAGTTGTGAATTTGGGTACAGTGGAGCGAAAATTGCTTAGTACCGTAAGGCCTTTGTTGTTACAACATCCGTGGCGCTCGGGGAGATTTTGTGTGCGTTTGATGAAAAATGTACACTCCAGTATCACGAGGACTAATTCTCCAGTTAATGTATACCTAGCTGCCGCTCAAAATGCGCAGATATTGAATACACAGCCCATGTTTTACCCAGTGAGAACATACAAAGCTCGCATTACTGAAGTGCTTACTTCCTGCATAATGGCCACCATTTCCCCACCGCCTACAGTATATGTTAATGGGCTACCAATACAAAACCATGACAACAGGAATTGTTGATCGACCAGTCCACAATGGGGCAATTGAGAGCTATTCCATGCCTCCTTCCTGCTACTGCCTTTCGCAAAACCTTCTCTTTCTGCAGTTGTTCTATCCACAGGATAAGTTTTACTTCATCCACAATTGCAGATAATTTGTTGCAGTTTGATTCTAACTCACGGTACCGACTAAAACCTACAGAAGATATATTTTTGATAAAAAGCAAACTACTTATGCACTTTTAAAAAATTCCGAAAGCCCAAGCAAGCATTTGGCTATACACCGTAGCAGATATTTCGCTTATATGCTGATACATATTTGCATGAGCGATTAGAATGTTTCACCATACGTTTGGTAAGAGAGCGCATTTAATCTAGGATTGTTAATTTGAAATGTTGTTCCAAGAGACTTAAGAAAAAGGTGCAAGGAAAGATCATCTGTTAATTTATAGAAGTGCCGCTTCATCAGCAACTGGTTAATAGTTACGAAGTATGGGGACCAGAAATAGTTATTTTTACACTTCTTAAATTTATCGTATGGACCTGCTCGTTTACTGTGTTTGTGAACTGGATGATTTGTATCTCGACTTGAGACATAAAAAAGCACTTTTCACCGAGTTGCGAATAGCAAATATACATTTTCATAAGGTATTTCCATATTTTAACCACAAGTGGTTATATTCTTTTTTAGCTCAGATAGCTGATGGTTAAACTAAATGTCTTAAGAAAACGAAAACCGACAATTACGAAAAGCGTCTTTGTACTGGTACAGAATGCAAGTGATGGATAGAGTCTGTGTAACGTTTTCCGGCTTGCGTAAATGGTCGCCTACCTTATCAGCGGAAGCATTATCGATAAACCTCGTGTTCATCTAGGAGCAAATAATACTCGGAACTTCTAACTTGAGTTCATAAACTCATGATTTCTTTCGGGAGTAAATATCCAACAGTTTTGTTTTCTACGGCACCGTTCTTGAGGCTTATGCTTGATTGAAAAGCTTGGTCATTGTTGTACAGTAAGCAATGATAAAAGTATTCCTCATTTGTGCTTTCATGTAGCTTTCCGCAGCATGCTATGAGTTTGATTACCCCCAGCTGATCAGAAATAAGTTTCTGGAAGTATGAGTTCAGAAACCTGAGGTATTTCTAACTGAGGAGTAACAAGTCATAACAGTGCTCACGATTGCACACCCTGCCCCTGTATTCATGTTGGGAGTTGAACGCAATACCAGCTGAGGTGCATCAAAGGCAGTTGGGAAAATGATATTGTATTTCAACAAATAAAGCCCTTAATCAGCAGGTCCACATTCCTCGTATAATGCGAACATGTCATAAGATTATTTTGCTTCCGAACCATAGTCGATTACCTAGGCGAACCTTTACATGCAAGAAACTAACTCCTGTCTGTTGAGGTGCTGCAATTGATGGATCATAGTGTTCATCTACTTCGATAATTCTTAATGCTTTGTCGTTGCGGTAACATATGGATTTTCAATGGTACTAAATGCAACAGAACTTTAATGATTAAATCAATAAACTGCCAACTCTATCAATCACGATCTATTGAAACTAGTTTGAACAAACGATGTGCAATATGGCAGACCCACTTGCATAAAAACTTATCTCACTTTGTCGCGAACCTATTCCATGTTATCCAAGAATACCCCATGAACCGAATTTTACCGAACATCATTCCTCACATCGCCAATAGTTGTCTGCATTGAACTGTAACCCGATTGCCACAGGCATATGCAATAGTCATGAAAATCAATCCTTTTGTACCTCATCACTTAATAACTGTGAAACTGAGGCTTTGTATCTACCCTGGGCAATTACGTGAGCAGAATGTGCAGGTGCAGTTTGTATAGATCATTAGAGAAGCTAAAGAGAATTCCTATAAACATTAATATGTTAACGGCTACCTTTCGATACTCTGCTCAGATTTTTCCACGCAGTTACGATGTATTCCACTGATGTATTCATCATAAGGATCGACTTCAGCCATCTTGGTATCTCGTCAGAAGTCACCCAAGTAGAATACAATGTGGGTTAATCGTCAGTAGTATGCGCACATCATGTTCGCCTCTTCTTTCTTGTTTATAGCCTTTGTATCGTTACGGAAGATGTGTCATGCATGGTTCAGCACAGTGAATTTAAGCCCATCAAATTGAATGGCTTCTGCTACCTGTACAGAGAAACAGGACATGCAATGTACATGCCTTGTTTTCGGTCACTACACGGCTAACCCGATCGGATCATTCAAACTTTGGTCCAATGTGAGAAAATGTAAGGTGTCATCAGCATGGGTCATAACGAATTGACAGGATCAGATGAGTGTTATGAATTCTTTTCGAGTAAATTCTTATCGGAACCAAAAGTTTAAATGGTAGAGATTACGTTTTGGGAGTGTCAAATCAGGCTACTATTGATCTCTTGGATGTTCGAACAGACAATCGATGGCTCAAGGTTGAGTTATTGATTGAAAGAAAAAAAGAAGAAAATTATTACATATCATCTCGGATGAGACTCAGATGGGTAAGTAACATTGTACGTCCGCCAAAGAAGTAGTAACAGACATATGCACCGTTTCTGCGCACACAGTTCGGGATCTAGATGGCGGATATAAATAGCCTTAGCAATAGGCAGGAATTGCTTGTGGAACTGGTGTGTAAAAAGCTCAGGCAGTTAGAATATGATCATGAAGTCAACCCCAGAGGGTGTGTGCCCAAAATCAAGGAGGTGTGACAGAATAGAACTGTTTGAAGACCTCATCTTGCCTTGGTAGTAACAAACTGGAATGTGCTCGCGAATCCTCTGGGATAGGCGCATCGAAGTACGACCCATATCTCATGCACCACAGAAGCATGAGTACCAACAAACGAGCATTGAACGGGTCAGAGAGTACAACTCATCCCTCAAGTTGTTTGCAAGCAACGGCTTATTTTAGTAAACAGTTATCAATCGGGCCGCGAAAGAAGTCTTCTCAACAGCATCTTTCAAGAACCGCGATAAGGCATCAGCAGCATAATCTCCCTTAAATGGCAAGTGCATGTACGGCTCTGCTTTAGGAGCAATACTGTTAGCTAGCTTGCGTTTGTGTTCCCTCAGCCGTCTTGAGGTAAATTTGCCTGGACAGCCATTTCTCTCAGCGCATCGCTTATTCTCTACAGTTATTCAACGGTACCTAGTGTGCTAATACTGCGCACCCTGAAGGCAAAAGAGTGGAGCAAACTTATCTTGTACTGTAGTGGCACTGCACTGTGAAAGTTCTTGTATTGTCCAGTCCACGCAAGCCTTGTGTGCAATTTCCTGTTAATAGATCATTCGGAGTAACGGAGAATGTTTATATCTAGATAGAGTATTCGGTTTCCGAGCTCATGCACGCATGTGAAATGGAAATTCTCATGGGGGTCATTAAACCTTGCAATAAATTCACCGCATGTTCTACAGCTTTACAAAGTACGATTGTGTCATCCACATAACGTACATACATTTCAGTCTCATCGATGTACGTTCTACGTGGGCCACGTTCCAATTTTGCCAAAAAGATATCGGCCAGCATGGGACCCAATGGAGATTCTATGGCCATTCCATCAATCTGACGGTACATTTCACCACCGAAAATGAACTAAGCGTTTAGGGTAGACCGAAGTAATACCTCTTTAAGCAGCGTCTCCGGAAACGTTGCGTAAATGGGCAGTTGTCGATCCAGTTCACAGAGGGAATGTTTGTGAATAGCGACTAGGCGTAAAATTATGTCATTCTGTTGTAGACAGGGTAAGTTTCAAATTCCTCTCAATGAATTCAAAGGAATCTATTACGCAGTAAGTGCTGACCATATTTCGTAACGACGGTAGCATATCCGCTATCTATTGTACCAACAAATGCTGGAGGCCCCACTATATCCAAGAGTAAACGCAGTGGGTCGTCTTTCTTGTGTACTTTAGAAAGACTATATAATGCTTTTATGTCACCCTTCCTTGTTTTGAGCTTGTGGAACGTGTGCTCATCACTAAGGATGTGTTGGATTTTACACATCGAATCATTGACTATGATGGCTAAATCGAACAATTAATAATACTAGAGTTCCTCAAAAAACTCACTTATAACGGAGTATTGTACCTGGAGGGTTTCCATGTGGCTCTTACCTATCCCTACACTGCCAGTTCTCTGTCGCAAGCATGCTATTTTTGGGTTAGATCATATTAAACAGGAAGATATTAAAAATGAAATACTATTAGTTGCATGCACATGAATTTAAAACTTATTCAAATCAATGGATTCTGATTTAAGCCCACTTCGTTTACGGACCTTTGCAGCTGAACATTGTACTCGTTCGGCTTGTTTGTAGGAGCCCTATTAATGTCGCACATTATCACGATTTGTGTGCCAGTTGAGTAGTGCCTTACCGTCTACCATCAGTGAGTTGCGCACAATACTACATCGATGGTACATGTAGTTGCCCTTCTCGGAGGATGATTTGCTTTTCCACCTGCCACATCGCGTTTCTAGCTCTTGTAGATCCGTTTGTATGTGGACCAACGCGTTAGTAAAGTTTGCTGAGTTCAAGAATAAATAATTACAGAGTTATAGCCCAATACATATGGTTTACAATAATGGACGTCATCGAAAAAGTAAGAGGATATGGGACACGTCCTTGGATAAGCATTTAGAGCCATTTAGCCTAGCAGCACAACTGTATCCATGAGAACAGATGAGCGGCCTCACGATATAGAAGGTCCCTTAATTTACTACTGTCCGGGAAATTTTCCTTACACATAAATGTATCTAGTTTACCTGACAAAGAATCTTTTCTTGTGGCATATGTCCGATTTTTCCATGATAATGGAACAGATGCTGTTTGCCAGGAGCGTTACAACTCATACAAAGGGAAAGTCTATATTTCAAGTAGTCACTAGCCATCTGACTGGAAACACCGTTCCAATACAGAACCTTGTTGCATGTGCAACAGTTGGTGCTGCGCAACTGTCGGAAGACATAAAAGATTTGTGGCCTATTCAAAATGTTCTCCCTCTGTTCACACAATTCACCGAGTGATTCATCGATAACACCCAATGGCTAAGAACTTGTAAGGGTGCTTAAACGAGTCCCTCTTGCGGCTTACTACTGTCCTCTGCACAGTTCGTAACTGGCATGACAGTGGAAGATGAGCGGGGCTAAATCATAGTCAACTGTCAATCAAGCAGGTCTGCGGCTGTCACCTATGGC